AATCACTTCCTCCTTGTACAGGGCATCGTTCTTCTTTTAAAAAAATGGTACAAATTCAGAAGAGCACTTTTTTAACCTTTGCCATGGGGAACAGGACTAATAGCTTTATTATGGTCTATCAGTTTTTTAATGAATAAGTATTCATGCTTCATAATCGCTTTTCTTCTATTATACTATTCAAAAAACATTTTTCATATATCAGCACAATACTGAACACTGGAAATATGAAGATGAATGAGAAAAGCCCTCCAGTCCTCACAGAGGTGGTCTCAGGTAGGGCTTGAGATTGTGGACTTCTCAGTTTGAATCCTGGTTCTATCATTTCCTGGCTGTGTACTCTTGCAAGGAGTGATGTTACCAGTCTGCACTCAGTCTCTCCACGTGCGAACTAATAGTACTAATATTACGCACCCACAGGGCTGTTGAAGGTTACTGCATGCAAGGTGCATACACAGTCCTGTCTTAGCACAGTGTATTCACTGCTTACTATGTTAACTATCAGTATTATGGAGTTCACATTCTCATAGGGAGACAGATCATATCATACACACTAAATATAGTTCAGTAAAGCCCTCTAATGGAGCTCTGAACAAAATGCCATAGAAGCTCTGATGAGAAAGAGAATCATGAGTTCATTTATAATCAGTTTTATTTTGAGCTTTTTTCGCAGCGGTAATCATGGCTGACAGCAAGGCTCAGGGTCTCACAAGAGGTGACCTCTAAGCTGGGCCTTAAAGACTGAATTCACTAGTGGGGAAAAGGTGGACAGGATGTCCAGGGAGCTGGAGCATGAGCAAAGGCTTGGCAGTGTGTAACTGGGTGGCATGTCCAGGGACCGGCAAGTGGTATGGAAGGAACACAGAAGAGGCTGCCAGAAAGACAGGTCAGGGCCAATCATCACAGCAGCACTAGAGAGCATTGTGACCAAATCTACGTTTTACAAAAATAACTTGGCTGCTTCCTGGAAGATGAAATACATAAAAGAGAGACTGAAAGCAGGGAGCCTGTTATGAAATGATCATGGCGGTGAGAATGGAGAGGTGAGGACAGAATACAGAGGGACCTGGAGAGAGAATAGAAAGCACTTAGTGACTGATTGGGTGTGGGGGTAGAGGAACGATTCAGGGATGACTTCACATTCCCACATGAAATAAGAAAAACAGGAAGAGAAGCAAGTTTGGAAAGAGAGATAATGAGTTCGGTGCTATAAATATTAAGTTTGGGGTATCTGCAGGAAGAATACCCAAGCAGGGAGTTGAGAATGTAATTCTGGAGTGCAAGATAGACCCATCCATTATGGTAGGGAGAAGGGAAAGTAGAGAAACAGGGAGGAAGTGACACTTTAAAAAACAAGCCTTATATATATGCACAGCCCAGTAGGTTCTATGAAATAGAACCAGAACTGGACAGGTACTTCTCCAAAATAACCTCTCTACACCAGCAAAACTGGTTCACTCATTGTACCTTCATATGTCTTGTGTGTTCACTCTGCCTCTTTTCTTTCCTCCATTCAATGTATACTGATTGAGCATCTATTATTGTGCCAGGTACTGTTCTAGACTTTGGTGACACAGAAGTGAAAAAGTCAAAACCCTGCCATCAGAGAGTTTATGTTTTAGTGCAGGAAGACAGTCAATAAGCAAGTAACCAAATAAAGATAAAATTTCAAGTAAATAAATGCAATAAGGAAAAAATAAAGCAGGTAAGAGGTTAGAAGGTTACCAAGATGCGAGAGGAAGGGGAACTCTTTGAAATTGAGTAGCTGTCATCAGGGGAGTCATTTCTGATGAAGCAACATTTTAAATGGAGGCCTAAAGTAATGGAGAAAGTCATATGAAAATCTGGAGGAACAATGTTTCAGGCAGAGGAGAGAGCAAGTATGAAGACCCTGAGGTAGGAACCAGCTTGGCATAATTGAGAAACAACAAGGCAGCCAGGTTGGCTAGAATAGACCAAATAATCACAGGGTATCTTGTGACACTTCTGGTACTATTGTCTTGTATTGTTAACTAAATGCTGCTGTTAAGATTTTTCCTGGATTTATATCCCATCTTCCCAGCTCCATGTGAGCCTACTGAGGTCAAGATCTATGTTCCAACTTCATACCCCCACAGTATCTAGAACAATGCTTTGCACATAGTAGGTGTTCTTTCTCCATTCATTTATGTATAATTGTAATTAGTGGTAATTTCTAGGCCGGCCTTGTCCCACTCTCAAACAATTCTGGGCTAATTCCAGAGGTTGCTAAACATCCAGTAAACCACTGATAAGCTATCTCTAGTACTGTTGTGATCAGTAAGAAACTCAAGCTACATCCAGGGCAACACAGAAAGCCCAAACACCAAGATTTACCTTTGCTGTTTGCAAATCTGATGGTTTCACTTAGGCTCTAACATTAAAGACAGAAATATAAGGAAATTCTGCATATGCTCAGAGAAGCTGTCGGCTTTGCCACAGTTCTATGCTTAAACATTATAATAATATTATTATTATCCCACAGGGGTGTCATGAGGATTAATGAGACATTTTCAAATCACTTTGAGCTACTCCACTGGGGGTACTAAATAAATGGTATACTTGCTCCTGAAGTGCCACTTTTGACATTGATTTGTTGTGATGGGTTCTGCTGTCCAACAGGGCTAGAATTTGCCCACCAACTCATTTCCTATAAACAATAGACTAGCCATCAGAAGAAAGTGGTTTTCACTTAAAATAAATATGAATTGAAGTAAACTAGTCAGCAATGAGAAGAAAATTGGGTGCTGTTAGAAATCTAGTATTTACAAAGCACACACAGTGATCAATATAAGAGTTTCACAGTGTGATACAGTAAAGTGAACATTGGATTTGGAAGTAATCCAAGATTTTAAGCCCAACTCTGCCACAAACGCGCTGTGTGAGCTTGAAGAAACAAACTTCTCTGGGCCTCAAATATAAAGTCAGGACCATCCTAAGAAGCTCATAAGCAGTCTTCCAAACAAAACAAATACACGAAAGGAATGGAAATAGTCATTTCTGAAGGAGAGAGATCACAGAAGGGAGGAGCTGTGACCATCCATCACAGGACCATCCTCTGTTCTGCTCTTCCTTGCCATTGATTAATATTAATCTCAGTACTAATTCCTGCAAATGGAGAAATTAATCACTTTCTAAGTCAGACACAGAAGTGCATGAAACATTCGGTCTTTAAAAATAGGGTCTTTGCCTTTCTACCAGCCATCCTTGCAGCGAGCCATCTGTCTTATACTTAGATTTAAATATATGAATGATTGATTATACTGCTACCCTAATTACCAGCTCAAGTACACTGTTCTAGTTTTGTGAGAGAGTACTTTACATGGTTGTCCACTTTTACCATCTTACAACATGTTACTGCCTTCAGTGCCTGGCACTGACCTGGAGGCGATGTGGAAGGTAAAGGACAGTAAAAAACATGGGTGCTTGTTGTACCCAGAAAAGGCAAAGATGGAAACCCTATGGCATAACTGAGTAACATGCTATACTGGGAGCTCGGTTTCTCCCCACCACTCATCCCAGGAATCTCAGTGGCCCTGCGCTCAGAAGAAATAAATGTTGACACTCCAGAGCAGATGGAAATACAAAGCATCACTTGCTGGGGAATTCAATTCAACAAACGTATACTGAGTGCCTACTATTGATCAGGCACTTTGGTAGTTGTTAGGAATATAAATTGGATAAGATCTGGCTCTGCCCTAGAGAACCTCACAGTTGAGAGTGGTATGGAAAGCAATGGACCACAAATCACTCTTGCTTCAAGTCAAATTGTCAGCTAAGGTATGAAGGGTGAGGGAATTGTCTACACAACAGTTCCTCTTTTGTAAATGATTTGAATGATACCATCGAAAACACATTTTTAAGCCTAGGGTTGACTCTAAATTGGAGTTGCCAAAACGTCTGGAAACAGAAATTGTGTTCAGTGTGCCCACAACAATTTAAAGAAATAGTTTAGGTTCAAAGGGGACAATTGTTAGTTATTATCACCATGCCAAAATCAAGCAACAGAGATACAAGTTGCAGAATGACTGTTCTCTCAGTTTAACAACTAGAGCGTGACCAGTTCCCTATGGCAAGGCCAGCGGTGGAACATCAGGCACGGCCTAGGTACTGGTCTGGCTCCCGTCCCTCCCACCACGGACTTAAGATGTGAATTTCCTTTTTCATTTTCCTCTAATTTTTGCACTGATAGGAAACTCACTGTACTGAAAAGGCCAGGCTGCCCTCGCCAAACCTAACCAGAAACTGGGTCCTTGACTCTTCCTAATGGCTGAAATCTCAGCTACGAAAGGTAGTGTGAACTATCCACGGCAGAAGTGAAGTCCCTGAACGTCTTTAATGACCATTTTCTTCAGACTCCGGGTGCGAAACTCCTCAGTACCCATTACTCCGCTGGGCTTCTCATCCAAATTATCTAGAGCCCTCCCGGCCTGGCGGTCTTTCACCCTCGAGTGGGCTCAGGATGCAGGCACCCGGCTTGCCTCTTGCCCAGGGCGCCCACCTGGCCTGCCACTCCCTGCCTCGACACCGCGGCGGCCCCACAGCAAGCCCCCATCCTCCCTCCTAGCCCGCCTCCGCCTTCGGCCACCTCGGCTCCGCGGAGCCAGCCTCCGCGGGGGGCCCAGGTGGATCTTGCGGGGCGAGGAGGCCGGCGCCCGCCGGCTGCGGTGCGGCCCAGGGCCAATCTGGAAGCCGCGCGACGGCGACGCGGCCTCGGGGGGCCGGAGAAGGGGCCGACTGGGCTGGGCGAGGGCTCCGTGGGGACGCCGAAGTGCAAAATATGGGCGTTCGGGTGGCCCAGGGGGACGAGGAGGGCGGCGGGGAAGAGCTGGGCCCCGCGGCTCCCAGGGAGCGGGGCGCGCGCCCGCGCGGTGGGCCGGAATCCGGAGGGGACGCGGAGGGGCGGGAGCGCGCCCCGCGGAGGAGGGAGGAGGAGGGCTGAGGAGGCGTCACTTTGGAGGATCCCGGCGGACAGCGCCAGACCCAGACCGAGCCTCGCGGCAGCGACAGCAACAGCAACAGGCGGCGGGCTCGGCGGGAGGCGGAGGCGGCGAAGGGGCGGGGAGCTCGAGGAGGAGCGAGCCGGCCCCGCGCCGCCGCCTGTTCCCCGCCGCATGGACGAGCACTTCAGCCTCCTGCGCTCGCCGCCGCCGCCGCCCTCCGCCCGCCACCGCGCCCACCCGCCGCAGCACCCCGCGAGCGGCGGCGGCGGCGGCGGCGCCCACACGCTGGTGAACCCCGGCTACGCAGAGCCCGCCGCGGGCCCCGAGCTGCCGCCGGACATGACGGTGGTGCCCGGGGACCACCTGCTGGAGCCGGAGGCGACCGACGGCGGGGGTGACCCGCCTCAGGGCGGCTGCGGTGGCGGCGGCGGCTGCGACCGCTACGAGCCGCTGCCGCCTGCGCTGCCCGCCGCCGGCGAGCAGGACTGCTGCGGGGAGCGCGTGGTCATCAACATCTCGGGGCTGCGCTTCGAGACGCAGCTCAAGACCCTCTGCCAGTTCCCGGAGACTCTGCTGGGCGACCCCAAGCGGCGCATGAGGTACTTCGACCCGCTCCGCAATGAGTACTTTTTCGACCGCAACCGGCCCAGCTTCGACGCCATCCTCTACTACTATCAGTCCGGGGGCCGAATCCGCCGGCCGGTCAATGTGCCCATCGACATCTTCTCCGAGGAGATCCGCTTCTACCAGCTGGGCGAGGAGGCCATGGAGAAGTTCCGCGAGGACGAGGGCTTCCTGCGGGAGGAGGAGCGGCCCCTGCCCCGCCGAGATTTCCAGCGCCAGGTGTGGCTGCTCTTCGAGTACCCGGAGAGCTCCGGGCCGGCCCGGGGCATCGCCATCGTGTCCGTGCTCGTCATCCTCATCTCCATCGTCATCTTCTGCCTGGAGACGCTGCCCGAGTTCCGCGATGAGAAGTACTACACTGCCTCGCCGTCGCAGGAGCTGTACGAGACGGCCAGCAACAGCACGTCGGGGGTTCCCGCGGGAGCCTCCAGCTTCTCGGATCCCTTCTTCGTGGTGGAGACTCTGTGCATCATCTGGTTCTCCTTTGAGCTGCTGGTGCGGTTCTTCGCTTGCCCCAGCAAAGCCACCTTCTCGCGAAATATCATGAACCTGATAGACATTGTGGCCATCATCCCTTATTTCATCACTCTGGGCACCGAGCTGGCTGAGCGACAAGGCAATGGACAGCAAGCCATGTCCCTGGCCATCCTGAGAGTCATCCGCCTGGTGAGGGTCTTCCGCATCTTCAAGCTCTCCCGCCACTCCAAGGGGCTGCAGATCCTGGGGCAGACGCTGAAGGCTTCCATGCGGGAGCTGGGGCTGCTCATTTTTTTCCTTTTTATTGGGGTCATCCTTTTCTCCAGCGCGGTGTATTTTGCGGAGGCAGACGACCCCACTTCAGGTTTTAGCAGTATCCCTGATGCCTTCTGGTGGGCTGTGGTAACCATGACGACCGTAGGTTACGGTGACATGCACCCAGTGACCATAGGGGGCAAGATTGTGGGGTCACTCTGTGCCATCGCTGGTGTCTTGACCATTGCTTTGCCAGTCCCTGTGATTGTTTCCAACTTCAATTACTTCTACCACCGGGAGACAGAAGGGGAAGAGCAAGCCCAGTACCTGCACGTGGGAAGTTGCCAGCACCTCTCCCCTTCAGCCGAGGAGCTCCGGAAAGCGAGGAGTAACTCGACTCTAAGTAAGTCGGAGTATATGGTGATCGAAGAGGGGGATATGAACCATAGCGCTTTCCCCCAGACCCCCTTCAAAACGGGCAATTCCACGGCCACCTGCACCACGAACAATAATCCCAACTCCTGTGTCAACATCAAAAAGATATTTACCGATGTTTAATGTATGAAACAAGTGACATGCTGTGCCCAGTATTGTGTGGAACGTGCCCCCTTGGTCTGTGTATGCCCTTGTTTTATACATTTCCAGACCATTCATCAAGGAAAGGACATGAAGAAGTGGAAAGCACACTTCATTCTCTCTCTCCCTACTGCTTCATACTGAAACAGGTGTCTGTTTTGCAAGTGGGCTGCATTCTCTCAGCTCTCCTTTTTTTCTCTCTCTCCCTCTCTTAATATTTCGAACAACAAACTTACTTTAAACTTGAGTTTCAGCACATGCTCTGTAAAAAAAAAAAAAAAAAAGACAAAAAAAGAAAACCAAACAAAAAAACTGTACATCCTGGAAGGAAATGAAACTAAAGAACAGAGTAACTGTCTAACCTCAGAATCCAAAGGCAGCTGTTTCTTTACTAAGTAAAGCAGGCACATACTTAAAGGATGCTTCGGTTTGATGGACCCATCAACACTATTGAATATTTAGTTCAATTGCCAACACTGTGGATAGGTGGATGAAAAGTCTATTTAGAACAATGACTTGTAAACCCACCGTAAGTTTATTTGTTTTCAACTGGAATTTCTATTTGGAAGCCCCCCTCCCGGAATTTTAAGGATCTCTACAACTTTGAACTAAGGGAAATGCCCAAGATGTCCCGATCTGACCAATTAGTTTAACTCTTTGGGGCTTGTTAAGCATTTCGAAAGTATTAGATGAAGAGATTCCTATGAAATTCTGTATTCATTCTAGCTAACATCTATCAAAGTCTAGAAACAGATGTTTTCAGTGCTGCTGAGAGAAACAAAAAAATTTCCTAATGCATCTGAGAGATAAGCTTCTGCAGTATCACAAGAAGATTAAAGTGGCAGACACTCCTTCCAGCAGAAGTTACTAATTCGGACCTGACTGATGCAGTTCCCATAGCAACCCATGTTTCCCGGGAAACCCGAAAAGGTTGTCATGGCATCTCTTGCTCTCTAGCCCCACCCCCTAGCCCCTGCTGTTTCCACAGTAACCTTTCCAGATGGTTCCTACTTACATGATTTCACAAGGAAAACCACTGTTTGAATAAACCACACAAGTAAAGTCTGAGAATCCAAAGTGGTGAAATGAATCACAAAATGCATATTTTTACTACAGAAAATCACTGATGTCATCCCATATTGACTGAATTGAAAAGGAAAATGTCGTCATTGGAATGTTAAATATACACTACAGTAAACCATGATTTGAATGAAATGCCAGTAATTAGGCAATCATTTTAAAAGATGCTTCTCTACTGTTTTCTTTTCCCAAGAAGCCAGCAAATGAAGTTAAAAAGCAAACGTCAAAGTGTTCTGCACATAAGCAAGTGAAAGATTCAATCAATATACCTGAAACCTTACTACAAGGGACCTTCAGACTTCCTCTTTAAAAACATTATCCAGATCCCACAACAACAGTGTCACCATCACAGCCCTTGAAAAACTAAATATACTTGAAAAATATAAAGGATGCACACTTTTAACTGAGGGAATTGCAGACAATCAATAAGAAGGAGGAACAGGAAGTAACCAAACCTTGGGGAAGTACTTGCAAGTTTCAGCCATGTGCCAGGGATGGCCAGAAGACAGCATCAGGTGAGCACTGTGGGAGCTACTGAGAACACTCTCTTTTTGTACAGGGAACCAGGGGGGTGCCATTCGTATCTAGATTTGTGCTAACTTGCAAAATCAATAGTTTTATATTCATTATATGCTAGGTGCCTTTTGAAGATCATTTATAACACCTTTTCTGTTTGATGTCCAGGTTGCCAACTATTCTTTGGTTTCCATTGTTTATTGCAAAAAAGTGGGAAAAGAGTCATTTCTCTTCAGAATAACCTTCACCCAAACTGAGCTGACAATGATTCCACTCCTTTTACTAACCTCCTTGGCTTCTGAACAACGTGTTTCCCCTGAAAAACGGATAAAAGGCAGACCTGCTGTTAGATTATTGGTCTGATTTCATTTACATAATTATTTAGTAGTGTGCAATTGTACAATTCTTCAAAACAAAGATGGTTAACATTGCAATAAGGGTAACATTTTATTTTAGCATATTCAATTTATTGAATATACATTATATAAAGCATGAATTATGCATTATCCACAATTGCTTTTTGGTTTGATAGGCTTAACTATTTTATCCTAGAGTAGGTGAGAGTTACACTATTTTTAAAGCTCATAAAATATTTTCAGGTGGTCAGAAGCCTACTTACTTTATTATTTGTGCATTTGAGAGAGTGAAAAATGATGATTATGACTATATGAGGGGGAAGGGGAGGAAAAGAAAACAAAAACCCAAAAAAACAGAAGCAAGAAATCTGTGTACCTGGTCATAGAGTCATTGTTCTTATATGTGGTCTTCGAAATAGAACTCCTTTATCTAGTTCCCTTTGCTACTTGTTTAACCCTTTAACATTGATCCACCTTTTGACCAAACTTTTGGTATTCTTAATGACCAGAAGTTGTTTTTAGGACCCATTTTAGTGGTGATATGTAGATACACTCTAGTAATTACATAAGAATAATTTTTGTATCTGTTCTTAAAAGATGTTAGCATAAGGATGAACAAAGTGCAGTAACAGTTTTATTCACAGTTATTCAGAAGATGTAGAAACCCTGATTAGTTCTATAAGTAAATTATGGTTGTGCCATAATTTTTGGAATTGTATGGTTTTAAAATAACAGTAATACAAAGGAGACTTTTTTTTAACCCAGAAAAATATGACTTTTGAGTCATAACTTTGAGGTAGTATTATTCCTTCTGGTTGCCATATTGTAAGCTCCTTGAAGGTTATAGGTTCTGTACAGGTCTTGACAAAGTTTTGGATTCTAGTGCCCAGCACCAGATGTAGCACCTTGTTTGTATTCAATACATTTGATGAGTGAATGGCTATTATCTTACATTAGTGTTATTTTCAGGCTTTTAATGAAGTGATTTAAAGCATAAGCTCTGCAGTCATATTGCCAGGGTGTGAATACTGTATGACCTTGAGCAAATTACTTAATCTCTCTGTGCTTCAGTTTCCTTATTTGTAAAATGAGGATAATAAATAGTACCTCATAGGGTTGTTGTGTTACCCTCATAGGGTAAATGTTAATGCAGGCATATTGCATCAGAGATTTTGCCAAGAGATTACATTACATTATTTGCTAAGGGATTACATTATGATTGTGATCATTACAGGCACTGTATAATTAATATCAAGCCTTGTGAATGGCATGAAATACATCAATTATCAGTGTCTTGCTATTTACTTTCTATAATAACAATAATAATTACGATTTGTTAAGGGTCAATCATGTCCAGGACACTTCTCAACTCTGCAAGGTAAGTGGTATTAACCCTATCTTAGGAGGGTAAAAAACAGAGGGTTAAAGCTCAGTGATTTCCCTAAGACTTCACAGCTAGCAAGAAATCCAGCATGATTTAAAGCTAGGTCATTGTGACCCCAAAACCCATGTTCCCTTTATTGAGTGACTTGAAAGAGATTGAGAAAATAAATTTCTTATGCTTTTAGGTTTGACTTCAGCCCATGTTACTAATTAATGAATTCATGTAAAGAACATATTTCCAGAAATGTAATTCATTCGGCGTACCGAAAAATTAACCCTTTTTTAACCATCAGATATTTTTAACCATAGGGACCAAATACGGTATTTAAATCAGATGAAGAGACTGACTTTTCTAGTAACAAAAGATTATTTTCTTACGTGATTGATTTATCTGGATTTAATATTATAGTACTCAGAAAGTATAATTAGTCTTGGTAGTGATACCTGCTAGGACAATGGATATTTTTTCAGTTTTAAGATTAATTTCCTATTTTCATGTGTTTTAATCTACAAGAGGTGATAGTATTGCTATTATGCAGATTGTTGTTTTTCCATCTTCTCATACTTTGCTTAGGTTACTGAAGAACCATGCCAGAAAACAGTATAAACATTTTGACTGTCCCTTATTAAGAAGGGGGAAATTACTTAGAACAATAGCATGGAAAGCAGAAGGAGGTTGCCAGTTCATTGCAATTTGTGACATTATTGCCTAACCTAACCACTCCATGAATCTTTAAGAGCAACTGTGCTTAAAAAAACAATTAGAATATAATTGTGACCCACATGATAGTTGTAGCCCCTTCCCTGAGGTCCTAAGGCATTTAGAAAATGAAAATGGGTAGTGAATTGGGCTTAGAGCAGAATGCTAATGAGTCTAAGTTTACACATGCTACTTAACTTTGTCAAACCACAGACTTCACTGAGCTCAATTGCTTGTTTTGAATGTTGAAAGGTATACGTATGTCTGTGTGTACAAGAGATTCATGGGAGGAGGTGTGATTGGATCAACACACATCTGTCAAAACCCTGGGAAAATGTATATACCCTATAGCTGGTGAATCCAGAGATAAAAACAATAACATTGCTATTGTTTTAAACTGATATTATAGCAAATTTAAATACCCACCAACTAAGGTGACATAATCACAAATGGCTACACATAAGAGGAGTGTTATATCAGTTATTTCTCAACTTTGAAATAAAATTTGGGGATTGAAATTTTAAATACACAGTATGAAGAAATTCAAAGCTATGGTTCATCTACATAAAGCTTATTGTTTACCTCTTTGGTATATAACATACTCAAGTAATTGCTTTGCTGATCATATATAAATCCAATATATATAATATATGCCAATAATCTATTCCTTTGAGAACCGTAACTGTAATTTACTGACTTCTCAATACATCTAAAATGTCAACATTTTCTACAGTAGTTACGAGTTCTTTCTACCTCTCAACTGTGAATAGAAGTGAGAGCCCCTCCCACTAAGAAATGCAAAGAAGCACATGTGCCCCTGAGTCTGAAGACTTACAGAAACACTGTGAGATAGAGGTAAATGGGGAAGAGGATATTGAGGGATTGCATTTTAGGGTGGGGTTTTTTCTTTCTGTTTTGTATTTGGCCTTTTAAACTAAGGAGAATAAGACTATTGCTTTTATACTACTAATTTCCTACATTTTGTGTAGTAACTTTATACATAAATGAAACCACTTGTTTTTTATAACCTGCTGAAAGTGGTTGATAATCTTTGAGAGAAGGCAAATCAGAGAAGACAGGAAGAAGGGAAGCCATGCAGTACCCAAACCTTACCACTGTTACTCAGCCCCCAACCTCCTGCCAGAAAATGGCCATTGCCACAGAGTATACATGATAATAGTATTCTTTAAATTACTCAGACAGGTTAGAAATTTTTCAAATATTTGTCTTTGTTTTCAGTGATGCTATGAACTAATTTTGCCTTTGACATTGTAAAGAAAAAACATTTTACAAAAAAACGTTTTCATGTTTTTTCTCTCTCTTTTTTTCTTTTTTTTGGTACTGGATGTGTTTTTTCTTACATTTCAGAGTTTGCACCATTAAACCATCAAATGCATTAAAGAAGAGATCTGGAAAAGAGGCTTCATCATTTTCTTGGGAGCCATTTTATTATTGTTGCAATCTAAATAGTGCAGAATAGGAACTCTCGCTTGAAAAGTAAATCCTGGGATTCTGATTGTTAGTAAGATAACATTTAAATGAACAAAAAATCATGTTTCCTCCTATCTGAAGAATGTTAGGAATAAATCTGTGCGTGCAGGGCTCTGACTTTGCAGATCCAGGGATCATAGCCCCCAGCATGGTGATAGGGAATGGAGAGGAGCTTTTTCTCTACCGATGAGCCCCCAACCTCACCCTCACCCCTCCCTTGAGAGCACAAAGGCTCTGGGGAGTCTCTATGGAGATCCCCACCAACTCCTTAGAATGAAAATCAGCATTGTGCCTACGTGTTATAGGCCAGTCAGCACTGCTGTTTCACTTGTTTTCCACTAAGTTTATTTTAAACTCTTTTTCTTTAAGAATCCTAAGGTTCTTATTTTTTTGCATTTAAACATGTTCCTTAAATTAAAGCCTTTAATTTAATTTGGAAGAGAAACCAGTGGGGTTAATTTATTACACACACGCCCACACACACACACACACACACACACGCATGCACACACACTTCACCTCTTCATAAGTTATTTCCTATCCTAAGATGTATTTACTTGTTGTCTGTAGATCTAAACAGTCTAATTCTTTTTCTGAAAATTAGTGAATTTCCAAAATATTTGCTTTCATTCATATGTGCAGCATAAACATTTACAAATCATTTTTATTTTTCAAAGTCTTGCTTAAAAGGCAGTTTTATTGTATCTATTAATGTAGTAATATGTATTAAATTCAAAAAGTAGTAAATACATTCAGTCTATAACTGAGTTTTGTCATTTCGCCTCCTAAATATCTCTATAAAGAATCCACTTTTCTAGATCGCTACCACTACCAGAGTCTATACTCCTATCACCTCTATGCTGGATAAGTGTGAAGGTCTCTTAACTGGCCTTCCCCCATTTCCTGTGGCCAACCTGACCCTTTCTCCACCTGCTAGCCAGAATGATATTTTCGAGACTCAATCTGATTATATCACCTGCCTCTGCTTAAAATTCTCTCAAGGTCTTTTCCTGTTCTTTGGGTCTATTAGTATAGAGACCCAAAGGCCTAACATAGCCTTCATGGCCCCATAGGATCTGGCTCAGCCCTCGTGTCTAGCCTTATCCTATACCTGTGCTCCTTCCCTCATTCTGCTGTACTCCAGCAACCCTGATCTTCTTCCAATTACAGAATAAGCTCCCTTTTTAAGAATGGGGATCTTTGCAAATGTTCCCACTACTGGCCCCTTCCTTCCCTCCTCATCTCATTCACTTCTATTTTTACTTCCTCCAAGATATCTCTCATGACTAGTTTAATCAATTCCTCTATTATGGTATATTTCATCAAATTTAAGTGCTTTTGATTATTAGAACCACCATTATTTTATATGCCTTTAAAAACAAAGAAAACCTGCCAATTATACAGGAAAGTACCAGTGATTTTAAGGTACATCCTAATTTCATAGCTGCTCAAATCTAAAACAGTATATCTTAGAATGAGTTGAATATAGTATGTTATCTTGACATAGCTGTAATTTTACATTAATTTGTGTTGTATAATTAATGTCTGTTTCCTCTGTGAGAGTGGGGACTCTATCTCTCTTTGTTCACCGTTGAATCCCTTCCCATTCTCTCTGGAATCTGTTCAGGCTTTCACCCCTACCACTTCACCAAAAGTGCACTTTTCAGGGTCAGTGGTGACCTCCTATAGCTATACCCAGGGCCATTTCTCAGTAGTCATTTCATTTGACCTATCAGAAGCATTTGGCACTGTAGAATACATTCCCACTTCTGGGAAGAAATTTTTCATTTAACTTTCAGGATACCACACTCTGGATTTTCTTCCTACCTCTCTGACCTTTCCTACTCAAACTCTTTTACTGGTTCTTCCTCACCTCTCCCGGGTCTTCATGTTGGAGAAACCCATGCTCCATGGCTTAGTCCTTAGACCTCTTTTCTTTCTGAATTCAGTCTTATTCTCATAGCTTTAGATGATCTATACGTAAATTTATATCTCCCACTTGGACCCCTCTCCCGAACTCCGGATTGAATTTCCAATTGTCTACTTGACATCTCCACTTGCACAGCTAATGTCTATCTCCAACTTAATATATCCAAAACTGAGCTTCCTTCTCCTCCCCCACCCCCGCCATCAAGCCTATGCCCCCTGACTTCTTCCCCATCTCAGTTACTGGCAACTTCAATTTTCCAGTTGCTCAAGCTAAAATCCTTCGAATCGTCTTTCTCTCTTTCTCTTACACCCCTTATCCAATCTGTTTGCAAATCCTATTGGCTCCACTTTTTAAGTGTTTCCAGAGTCTTACCACTTCTGCTACCATCCAAGCCATCGTTATCTCTCATCTGGTTTTTACAGATGATTTTCGACCCTCCTGACTGGCCCCCTGCCTCCTATCCTTTCCCCTGCCTGAGTCTATTCTCAACATAGCGGCCGGAGTGTTCCTTTTAAAACACTTGTCAGATCATGTTACTTCTTTGCAGCAAAACCCCCACTTGGCTCCCCGTTTCACACAGAGTATAAACTAAAGACCTTACAGTGGCCTACAAGGCCCTACCTCATCTAGCCCCCGTTACCCTTCTGATCTTATTTCTGATTCCTCTTCAGATTCATCCTTAACTGCAGCTGCACTGGCCTCCTTGCTTTTCCTCAAATATATCTGGCATGCTCTATTCAGGTCTCTGTACTTCCTATTCCCCTGCCTGGAAGGCTGTAGCGTCTGCTCTCTGCACGGCTCGTTCTTTCACCTCCTTAGGTGTCACTGTCTCGGTGGAGCCTCTCCTGGCTGCTCTGTTTAAAATTGCCACCTCCACAGGACTCCCTATACCTTCCTCTGATCTGTTTTATCCTCTAAAATATTAGACATTTCACTTACTTTGTTTATTGCTGTCTTCCCTTCACTTCCATGAGAACAAAGATTTTTGTCTGTTCTTTGGGACTGTATCCTCCAAGGCCTAGAATATTACCTGGAATAAGGTTAGTGCTTAATGAGTATTTATTTGAGGGAGCGATGAGAAGAAGGGAGTAGCATTCCAGTTTGAGCGTTTTTAAACTACAAACAAAATGTTTGTGTTGTGTATCTATGCTTCATTTTATCACTGTGAGGCTTGTACTCCTCACCATGCTCTTTTGGATGAAATTCCTCGTAATTGGTTCACTGGAGAAGCCTTCCATTTGGCAAAACATGCTCCAGCAGGGACGTGTTAAATATACATTATATGTGATGTCGCTTCTAATCGCCAAGGGTATCTGGAAGTCAGAATGCCTCACAGAGACGGTGTTTCCTACCTAATAGCTAATAGAATGCTCTTTATAAATGATATTCAGTATATACTTGTTGACTGGTTGACCCAAGTAGTACAGACAGCAAAAATCAGAACAAGCAATTAATATATCCAGGAACTTACCTATCTAGCAGACATTCTAAGAAACTTCCCTGTAAGTTCAGTCTTGGTTTCAGTTAATAGTGAGTCCTTAAACACCCATGGGGTCTTCAGGACTATGGAAACTGATTGAATAAATTATTAGAGATCTCATCAATGAATCACGTTAAAGAATTATATTACTGTACATAAGGCCTTACTGGATAAAATTATTTCTTTTACAATATAACCTAATTTTTCATGTAGTTGTCAAGTTATGTGGTAGGATCACAAAAATCGGCTATTTTTAAAAGTGATTTGTTCATGTATGAAAGAAGATCCATCCATGAGAAATAAGGGTGGATTCTTAGAATGACAGTTATAATGGCAAAACTTAAGCTGCTTCTAAATAAAATAAGACGGAAGGTGAGAGACAGTCCAGTAGCATATGTTGGTATTGGGAGATTCCTAGCAGCCTTGAAAAGCCAAAGTGTAATATGGAATTACTGAAACTAATTAAAACATTGATATAAATGAGTACTGCAGACATTGCCATGATTTTAGGCAACATGATAACAAATGCACTTTCTCCTGCTGTAGGAAATGGGGATTCTTCTGATGTGAATAGCAAGGAACTTTTCCCACACCACTTGTGAATTTTCTCCTTTCCCTGGATTTCTCAGGCAGACCAGACCAGAGATTCACCTGGGTGTTGCCTCTGCATATGCAGTGGCACAATTTCCTTACCAGATACGTCACCAAATTAATCCAAGCTAATGCATGTCTGCATATGCTTGAGATTACATCTGTAGACCAGTAGAACTTAGAAACTCTTTCATCTTCTGTCACTTTGTACAATTAAGGCCACATAGGACAGAGATCATTTCTCTCTTCTGAGGACACATTGTTAGGATTTTTTAAAGAAATGGCACAGACTAGAGAATTGAAAATGCATAATTTTCATTTCTTTTTTTTTTTTCTGGTTTTGGGTGAGGAATTGTAACATTGTTTATTTTTATTATTTAACTCAGTATGGGTTTTTCCAGATATTCTCTTGTAACCTGGTATAGCCAAGGTATTAGATATTTAAGAGGCAGCCTCACATGCCATTACATTTTATATTTACCTCAGGTAAGACTACAGGACAAAACAAAATACCTGGTGTATTTGAGGAAGAGCAATGTGTATTTGAGGAATTCACTAATCTATTACTTTTATAAGAAATTGTCATTAAAATCAGTTAAACAAGAGTGACTCTATGTGAGATTTAAAAATGTAGTAAGCGACTAAAAACCATAGAGAGAAATAATTTCTCCAAGTAAGAACTGTGTCTGAGTTGCTTTATACCTAGGTTCTGTAAACTTTTTACCTGCAAACATTTTAACTCATTTTGAAAGGTCAACTTATATTGCTATAAATTATATTACTATAAATATATTACTATGTGAATTGAGGAGATTTATTTTTAGTAGACCTAAATACGATTAAAGTAGTACTGCTTACACCTCACAGCTCATTTTCGCATGACTTTCAGATTTTTGACAAAGCTCACATCTTGGCACATTACCAGTTTTAATTACTGCATGAGTTTAAACTTTTTCTGCTCCCCAAGAGTGCATAATTTTCCAAGAGGACAATCAGAGAATTATACACAACTTAGCAAGAACTCTTTCTAGTCCTTGGGGCTAATTCATGACCATTTAGCTGGTAGAATTTGTAGAAGTTGTTGATGTGCAGCCAACTGCAAGTTATTTAGTAGATGTCAAAGTATAGACACACGAGGACAAAGTTCTCATAACACCGCGTCACGGAATGATTTCAGCTTTTTCCTCATCAGACACGAGTTAGTGAGGCTAACAGGTAACCTGGATATCTGCACCTCTTTCATTTAGGCCTGAGTAGAGGTATCTTTTTCACAGACTTGACAGCTATTGAAATTTGACTATTCTTATCCTTTTTTCTTGCTTTATATCTTAGAATATTTATTTGGTCAAATATTGATATCTTCAATTATAAGTCACCATTATACTTTCTTTCTCTCTTCTGTAATTTTGATACTTAAGTCAATGTTCATTTTTCTAAGCCCTTCAACCAATTTCTTAGCCACTAATAGAAACAATATGATTACCATCTAAAATCACTTTTATTTTTTGTTTTGTTTCTGTTGAATTGCAACTCCTTCTGCACCTACAGTCTATTAGGATGCCAAGCTGTACCAGACTTAATAATCCCAAGAGCCTTGAAGCAGGTATTGACACATGAAGTTAAAGAAAGCCCCAGCCCCTTATATAAAAAGGGTGCATCAAGAAAAGAATAGCGTAATAGAACCATCTCAAGGTAATCAAAGCTGCAGTAGCATTGAGCAGAAGCTAGACACCGAGGAAATAAAAAGAGTATCATATCATTCATGTTACTTGTGATTTCTTATAATGAGTCGTCATCAATAGCTAGTAGACCGCTGTAATTTTAAGACTTTCGTAATGAACATTAAGTGCACTATGATGCAAGAATGTACTCTTGCTTTTGACTGAAGACCAGGGTTAAGAAGAAGTTACCTCCTTCATGAAGGATGAGCAAGTATAATCCAGGCCAAAAAGGAAGACTTTTCACTAGATAATTTCCCAGAATAGTAGGTATACACCATGTAGTTCAGTGAGTGAATGAGTCTTGCATGAAAAGCACAGTCAAATTCCAGGTGGCCATCATTAGGCATTTACAACTGGTTTTGAGACACCTGCTAAGACCAGGAGTATTTATGAGAAACAGTCTTCTCTATGTATTATGATGGATTATATTCACATATTGAAATCTGAAGCTGGGTGTATGATTTTCTGTTTTTGTATGTATAAGTATCACAATTAGTAAATCTCTAGAGTACATAAACCTAATTTTTATATATCCATTCATTCATTCAACGTATGTTTACTGCGTAGCTCCTATGTGTAGACACTGTACAAAGTAATAGGGGTTTATTCATTCACTGAGCATATAAAGTATCTACTGTGTGCCAGACACCATTCTATATTCTGAATGTAGCAGTGAACGAGACAGTTGTGCTGCCTTATGCTATTTTTAAGAAACACTTTATTATCCTTATTTCCAGATGATTTTTTTGTAGTTGGGGAGAGGAAGGCAATACACTTGAACTTTTATTTCTTGGTTCTCCACAGACCTTGGTTAAGTGGCTATTGTTATCTTAAGTTTTTATTCCCTAAAGTGGTATATAACTGTACAGAGTTCATATTTTAAAGGATCAATAGATTTGAAAGTTATTTGTAATGACAGGGTAATCTGTCATTACAGATTATCTGTAGTTCTAGGTACTACATTTGTAGTACCTAGAACATGGTTGTCAAAATACTCATTTTGAGACTGTTTCTCTCTCTCCGTTTTTTTCCTCTCCATAACACTTATCTATTCACTTCAAAGGAGTTCTCATCTTAGATTACCACAGTGGGATGTACAGCCAGAAAAGAAACAACACCTTGAAAATACATTGAGAAAATTGATACATGTATTTTTCTAAAAATCAGTAGACAGTACCTTTCAGATGGTTCTAAAGGTGAAGATATATTTTCCTATTCCAAAGACAATCACATTGGTTTAGACTACATTTGGAGTCCATTATTAATAAGGGGAAAAATGTTCATAATTTCAGCATACTCTGAAACTGTTTCTGACTTATCAGTTAAAAGCCCTCAATATGTGGTTAATGCATTTAGAAAATTAAGTTGCTCAAACTTCTCAAGGTAACAGTAAAAAAAAAATAAAGTTTTTAAAAGTGTAATGAGTAGAATATTTAATATTGACCTAAAGTCTACAATTTTTTAAAAACTAAATATACAGTAAATTATTGTGTTTACTCTGTCCAACAGATACCTGAAGAGCCCTACGTAAAGAACTGTAGAGCTGCACTGACCAGTAGGATGCTCTTTTTAAATTGCTTAGATCAAGGATACAGTGTTGGTTATATTGCTGATGGACAGTGATCTGTCTGCCAGCACATACTTTTGTTTCAGTTGACATTAAATAACATGTCTCTAAGAAATGCTTCATATACAAGAAACAGCTCTGAACCTGGAGGATTCTCTTCAAATTGTGTGCAATATAAAAGATATTGACCAAGAAATAAAGAAGAACATTAAAAATAATAAAGTGTCATTTCAACCTTTTGACATTTTGATGATATTTAATCATCCAAAAACTAATCACTACTGCTAATAAAGAAAACCTAAATGTTTGTTTCTAACAAGGCAACTTATTACACTGTTTTCTTCTTTCATTTAATTACTGGACTACGTTTAACCATGATGTATATTAATGTTATTTTCTCTGTTCTGAGTTATGTGCAACTTTATTTGTGAAAGTGTGTTTTGTACCAAAGCCTCTCATACATAAATTAGCCCGTTTATATGTAAATAAGCGAAGTCTACACTGTGCCCAGATGAATGGTATTAAAGACAGACTTGCCTAAAAGAAATGTGCCTTGCTTGATTAAACATTCTTTTATTTTTTGATTCAGAATGATAGATTTGCAAATTAGTCTTGTAGGTAGGTTTTAGCAGAGCTTAACTTTAAAAAATATAGTAGTACTTATTACATGTTTAAGTTGTCTGTCTTAACTAAAATTTTAACATTTAGTTATACCTTTCAACAGTTCATATATAATATACTAATTTAATTTAGTTTTCATATGATGTTTGGTGTGGTGAGACAAAGCACATTCTTAAAGATATATACAATATTTCATCTAATGTTTTAAGAATTTCTTTAAAAATTGTATCTGTAAAAGTTTTCTTGACTCATTTTCTATTTTTATATTCTTTTAGAAATGGAACTTTTTTCAGTTAAAAAGAAAAGCAAAGTTTTATTTGTAAAAGAGATTTAGGAGATCATGAAAATGGTTTCCCATTTGGGGACATTTCACTTCTGTGCCATTATTAATGTATTTACTGTGACATTTCAGCAGAACGGTAGCTATTTGCATATTATTTAATAAGCCTTATGGAAAGTTAAACTGTGAACATTTAATATAAAGAAGACTTTTCATTTCCATATTTCATTTTCAAAATATACCTGAACAAATGTGTAAAACTCCAATCTCCTGCTATTTAAATGCATAACAATGCTAAGTTATAATACGAGTACTTGTAGAATTTCAATTACTATCAAAATATTGTTGTAGGAAAGCCAAAATTATAACACTTTTTGATGTCCTGTAGAAGGAAATGCAGGTGATGAATTTCACTGTTAACATATAAGAATCAGTAACTGAAACAATCTTATACCTACTAGCAGCGAAACAGACAGGAGATACAATCCAGGTAAATTTCTTTGAGGCAACGTCTACAATGGATTTTGCACAATCTGCTGGTAATTTCTCTGGTCAAAACTTTGAGACCAGATCACTCTAGGAAAAAAGGAAGTAAAAAAAATGACAGCTGTCTCAGATTTGAGCTATGTGAACCTCCAATCTGGATAATTTGTGATTAAAGTGAAAATATAGCTACCGCGGTGTTTTTGTTCTGGTAGCCTGTGTAGTAGAGACACTGGCCCAGAGAATAGTCCATTTCCAGCCACCTTAATACTCATAACTGATGATCACAGCCTGGTCAAATCAGCTATTGGGATGATTGAAACAAACCAAACAACTGTCCTAATAGGAGGTCTTAGAACATGCAGATGTTTTAGTAAGGATCAGTAGGTGTTACCAAAATAGACACAAGAGCTACCTTTATAAAATACCAATGACACAACCTTAAGCATTATAATATGTTTAATATCATATCCACATTATTATTATAGGCTACAGTTTCAAATAAAGACAAAATCTGGGGCTTCCCTGCTGGCGCAGTGGTTGAGAGTCCGCCTGCCGATGCAGGGGACGAGAGGCCCGCGTACCGCAAAAAAAAAAAAAAAAAAAAAAAATCTGGACTTTGCAATAAAAGCACAGAATCGTACCAGATGAAGAAACTGTCATATCAAGTATGGTTCACCAAATGGGTAGTAAAAATAGTATTATTCTAGATATCAGGAAACCAGAATTCTTACCCACTTTCTGCCCGTGGGACCCTAGATAAGTCACTTACCACTGCTAGGCTTCAGTTTCCTAATTGCAAAATGAATGTTCTGGGTTACTCTCCAAAGCCCTTTCCAGCCCCCAGATTCTCATTATATGCATTTGAAAAGGCTTTGAAGCATACTTAAGTACTCAGATTTTTTATGAATTTCTGAAGGAATGAATAAATTGAAATAAGATTTAAGTCTTGAAAGTGTCATAAATATATCATTCTTCAAATTGCTTGTGAGAGAGAATATGGGATTTTTTTCTCCTCTGAGAATTGTCACTGGTCTATAAATGGGATCATGAAAAAGTAGAAAAAATCACTCTCCGGAATGGAAACAGATTAATGTATTACCTGAAAATGAGGGGAGGTTATTTTTTTTAATTTAATTTGATGTTAAGGTGATTTGAAATCATATATGAAATGCTAAAACTATAGCAGAGCTTTATCATACTCAACATTATAATCCTGGGAGTAGGAGAAGGTAGGAAGAGGTTAGAGGGATAGGAGTGTTTGCCTAACGATCTCTTGATTATTTCCGCATAAGCCGCAGTTTGGTAGAGCAGGTGTCTCTGTGCTTTCATGCTGGCTTTACCAATAACTCTCATGTGCCCTGGGAAAGTCCCTTTAACGTCACTGAGCCCCAATTCCTTTTAGTAATCTGTATGCTTCTTTACATCTTTGAAAATTCTGTATTGTTTTCAGATGGTTGTAATATACATGTTCATGTCCATGTCGCTCCCCTCCAGTCACTTAGATGCCACATCTCTACTCATGTGACTGAACAGACTGCAAATCCAAACATTCATGTTTCCAATGTTTGCTAATTGACTTCAGCAAGATGTAAGACATGGAAATATTTTGATTTTGACCACGGTTTAATTATTATGATTTATCATTTCATCTTTGAATGGTGTTAATTGTCTAAATGAAACGTCTGCTCAAGTGAACCTTTTTAAAAAATGTTGTAGTTGAATAAACACTTAGCAAATCAAAATTAAGTATATCATGTTTCCCAGTGAACTGTAGCTGATTGTAAGGTGCATTTTTGTCACATTTAAAAGTTAATACCTTTTTGGCCCCAGAAACAATGGCTATGAATTAAAATAATATTCACAGAATTTTGTAAATTTTTGTGAATACAAAAGAGGCTTGATAGAGCCACATTGTAATTAATTTTGCTCAGGAGTGAGAAACAAAATTCAGGGATAACCCAAACACTTCTGTTTGGCTTTAGTGGACAGTTGGGAAGACGAAAGGTTATAGGTTTTGTACAACATAGGTAAGATGCCCATAGGCAATTATACCCATTGTAAAAGAAGAGTATATTCTGGTTGCTGGTTTATGGTAGAAAGAGATTAGTATAGAAATATGCTAAAATATGGACACTAGAGAAATTGTTAAAATGATAGTCCATTTGAATAATACAGAAATATTTTGTCATACTGAGATTATCTGTCCAGAAGTATAGTCTTATATCCTTCCATTCAGAAAAGGGGGCAGTTTTTTAAAACCTCTATCATAATAGGAAATGTATGTTTTGACTAGTGGAGCAATTCATAAAAACATTTAATCTGGTAATTTTGGTTATGTGAATCTGAATTTTCACTTTAGGTGTAATTAAGTCTCTTAATGTATTAGTGTTAGTGATCTTTGTAAGAAGTAATTTAACTATTTTTTTTAAAGTTGATGAAATTTGCTAAATGGTGATTCTAGCATATTGTGTTAATAGTGTATCTTACAACAATTTGTGAACTGACCATATGAAAACAAAACATAGTAGTATCTCTTCCGGTAAATTGTTTCCATGGTGTGATCTCTTAATACCAGGTTTGGGGTGGGGAGGTTAAGTATTTAGTTTACGTAAAACTAACTGTCAAACTGTTTTTCCTAAATGCCATGAAAGTGTATGATTATAAACCAAAAAGGAATATCCTATTAAGGACACTGTATAGACCATTTTTGAAATGATATAATTTCTGTTAAAAAGTTTCTACACATATGAGGGAAAGCAAGCAGTGTGTGTAGTATTTCTATGTAATATGCTAAATGTTTTAGAATCCACTTTTGAAATCTTATGCAGATAGAAAGTATGCACATATCAGAATAACAAATACAACTACAACACTTCAGTTTTTTCAGACATGTCTTGCATTTGTTTATTATCTCATACTTTTCAAAGATCATTAACATATCTTATTTAATCTTAAAATATCCTTATGAAGTAATAATACTATCTGAAGTTTAGAGATTAAACAACCAAGATTTAGAAAGATTGTGACTTGTCCAAGATCATATGGCAACAAATGACTTTAAATCTCATGTTCTTTACACTTTTCATTCTCTGTCAAGTTATTTTTTTTTTCTACCACTGCCATGATCTTTAAAACTTTGACTAAAATTTAATTCTAAATGATACTTGGGAAATTTCAGGTCTAAGCTACAGGGCATGGTTGCTGTTATTGTCAGACCTTTTTAGATACTTCCAAAATATAGTCCTCCCTCAGGTAGAGAGCCAAACATTTTCCATCTAAAACATACTAAGTCCCCTCACTCTGACCATAGGCATTAAATCAGTATGATGTCAAAAATCTAGACTGAAAGATTATCTTCTCCACTGGTCTCCTTTCTAATTTCCTTTTTAAAAAGTCCATCACAATGACTGATTTCTGAACATTGAAAGAAGCAATAATCAACCCAAGAAACTGCAAACATTCTCATTCAAAGAAAACATACTGTAAGACCCACCATATTAGCCATTTTTCAGCCTATTGTTTTTCATCACATGTATTCTGTGATTAGGG